CCCCCCACCGACCCTGACAACAATAACACTACATCTGTCCATCAACCAGCATGGTTTATTTATTTTTTATTATCATATAAATGTAAAGGCCTGACGCGAATTTATCGAAAACAAACGCATATTCGCCAATTTACTTTTTTAAACTTTATTGCTTATCTACATTTCCTTTCCCCTGTATTGCCCACACCTTATAACCCTTATTACACGCGGTCCCGTACTAGAGAAGGACGAAAGTTTTCGTGTGCCGATCTGGGTGGTAAATTAGACATCTACTGTTCAATATTTCCAACAAAAAGCGAATCTACTCGATCGTGGCGAGTGAGGAAAAGTCCCTGACATACAGGAATTAGACAACATTTGCATGTCTTCATATTCGATAATGACGAACCTCAGGTCTGTCCACCAAAAAACACATAAAAATTGGCATTCATAAGTCTTTGAGCTCAGCCTCTAAAAGTATCTGTTTATTGGGGCATGATGAGAGGCGAAACCGGCAGAAATTATAAGCAAACATGATAAATCAGTCAACATCTGCCTACGTGTGTCGATTATAAAAAAAACCACGAAACCTGGCAGATCGATTCACACAGTAGCGGAAACTAGACAGCGAGTGTCCCGGACTGATTGTTGGAATAAATAAATTTTCAAGGAAGAATTCTGTTAAGGAGGTCGTCCAAATCTTCTGATTCGGAACCTGCAGGACAAGACTTTACAGGACTTGGGGGGAGGTTCCACATCCACTCAGGTGCTTGGGCATGAAGCAGAGTAGCAAGTGGGCACTGGGGTTCGCCGGACTCCTCGGGACGCTCGGGGGTGCAATCGGGACCGTTGCAAGGGTTTTGCTCCTGTCCAGATGCGAAGAATTGACAACACAACAACCACAGTGTCAGTGCAATTAAGATTTGAGATCGCACCATCTTCTAGTACTTGCGGGTTGACGCTAAACCAGCACAGCACAGTGCTTTACCTTATCCTCCTCCTCGACCACGCTTGACTCACCCAATATGATTCAGGCACTGATTAAGCGCCTGTTTGACACGTATGTGATTAGTGTTGGTGCTACTCTGCAATTGGTGATCCACCAACCAATCAGAAGGTTGGTGCGCACCGTTTATGGATTTCATGAAAACCTACAATATTTTGGGCCTTACAGGCAACCCCGAACTAAGAGGTTATTGCTGTCTGGCTGAATCACACTGCCTTAAGTCAGATGCGTAAGAGTGAGATTTCATTGCTTAAGCTTCGCCTGGTGCGCATTTACTTATTGAAAGTTTGGAAAGTAACTTCGGGTAGCGGCAG